CTCCCCTCTAAATCAACTGTCCTTTACTTTTCAAACTGTTGCCGGGGATCTATTAGCACCTCTTGGAATGAGTTCAATAGCTGAAGGACAGGGGGAGAAAAAGAATGTAGGGAAGGAAGGCATGGGTAGAAAATGAGGAGGAAAGGATGGAGTGAGAGCAAGCTGAGACACTCCATTTTCCTGTGACAGAGCCTATGGATGTAGTCTTTGGGGCTGCGTTGATTCTGAATCTGCACTGAGGCAGGACACACCAGGGTTGTCAGAGCCCAGGTATGGAGCATCCATGGTGGGACAAAAGGCTAGAGATGGAACATGCATGAAGCCCTCAGCCCCATCCCTAGCATCACATAAAACCAGGAATGGTGACACATACCTGTGATCCCGACATCTGTAGGGTAGAAGCAGGAGGACCAGATATTTAAGGTTACACAATGAGTTTGAGGCCATCTGGGCTATATGAGAACACGTCTTGACAGAAAAAGAAATGTTATGGCCAGACGTGTCCTTCAAAGACTCATCTGATTTCTCTAACTAGGCTTCCCCTTCCACGGTTGTACCACCTCCCCATAACTTATTCAAATTTTGAATCTTGAATGGATTATGCCATCAGTTAATTCAGAGCCCTCATTATCTGATTGTTTATGGAAATGCCTTAGGACACCCAAAGGTGTGTTTATGAAGATCCTAGGTGTCTCCCTGTTCCATCCAGTTGTAAACTGTAGTTGGTTGTTTTACTCTTTACTCTTTTGGCTCTTTGGGGGGGGCCACCACCCAGCTCCCAAATAAATCACACGAAAACTTACTCTTTCTTATAAATGCCTGGCCTTAGCTTGGCTTGTTGCTAGCCAGCTTTTCTTAAGTTATCCTGTCTACCTTTTGCCTCTGGACTTTTATTTTTCTCTATTCTATATACCTTTCTTTACTTCTTACTTTGTGGCTGGCTGTGTAGCTGGGTGGCTGGCTCCCTGCATTCTTCTTTTGTTGCCCCTTGATCCCCTCTTCCAAGATTTCTCCTTGTATTTATTCTCTCTGCCTGCCAGGCCCACCTAGCCTTTCTCTCTACCCAGCTGCTGGTCGTTCAGCTCTTTATTAGACCCATCGGGTGTTCTAGGCAGGCATAGTAACACAGCTTCACAGAGTTCAACAAATGCAACATGAAAGAATGCAACACACCTTTGCATCACTAAACAAATATCCAACCGCATACAAGAATGTAACACGTCTTTCACTAATATTCCACAACTGTAAACCACCACAGTCAAGAAACTAGCCAACAAGCTAACACTTCTGTATGAAGGCCATGTTAGTGACCCACCCCCTACATGATGGGCTTGAGCTTTTCACTTCCCTTGCCTTTCTTACAGTGGTATGGATGTGTCTATTCACTCATCCTGTCTTGATCCAACTTGGACACAAATGGATCCAAACTTCAGGCAAGTGACAATTACCAGAAACACTGAAACAGTAGTGACACTAAGCCTGCTTAGGTCCATTGGTGTCACCTACCCTGGTAACTCCGATTGTGTAGCCTCTGGGAAATTCCTCTATGATAACCTTTCAGGGACTGAAAACCAGTGTTTGTTCAGACTCTAGGTAACTTCTAGCTAGCTAGTTATCTTCAGCCTAGGGAGGCAGGGGAGTTTCCTAGTTCTGTGGCTCCTTCTCCATGCTGCCCCTAAGTTCTGACAAAGGTTTGTGACAAGCAGGCAGGATCAGAGGGAAGATAACTCTCTCAATGTTATGGTTTGAATGTATAATGGTCCCCATGACATCACTATCCGAATGATTGATCCCAGATGCTAGCAATGTTTTGGGAGGCTGTGGAAACTTTAGGACATGGTGCCTCAGTGGAGGGAGTAGGTTGCTGGTGGTGGGTCTGTAGGAACATTTTATCACGGACTGTTTCCTGCATTGTTCTCTCATTTCTGGTCCATGATGTAAAGACAGCATCTCAAGACATGCCACACCTCTTGGGATGGACCACATCCTCTGAAACCACGAACCAAACTGAATCTTTCCTTCCACAATCAGTTTCCATTAGATCCTCCATCACTGCCATAAACATTGACTAAAACAATTCACGTGTTAGTGTGCTTTCCCACGACATCAGGTACTCAAAGATGCTCACATGTAAGACACAGACACAATCAAGAAGAGTCTTTACTCTGAGGTCAGTCTCTTTGGTTCATGACCATTTCCTTCCCAACCACTGGAGGTGTGCTAAGCAGCAAGTGCATTAGATGGTTTTTCAAGGTAACCAAATTCACTTGAAGATACCCGAGATGTTCTCAGAAGCTACCCCAAGAACTCCACAGCACCAGCCCACAGGCCCCATCTTAAATGGACACTTTGGGGGGCTCTAATCACAGAGCACCGCTTAGTCTCTGAGAGCCTCATTTTGTTGGGGATAAGTCTGGAAGAAAGTCAAGCTCCAGGAGAAGTGCACATAACCATTTTTTAGGAGAAATGACAAACTGAGGGGACAAAGCAGTGTGACATTCATCAGGGCCACATTTGTACCCATGATTTCACGCTCACCCCACGCCCACCCCACCCCATTCACACACCGGTGCACAAATTTGCCAACTGATCCACCGCCAACTGTTAGATGAATAAGCGAGCGATACAGTTTTTCTTTTTAATAAGATTTGTATTTCGAGTCGAGTCCCCACTAAAAACTCTCAGTTACAACAATTTCCACATCCAGTTTACTGTCACGATTTCTGCTGAATGCTGTCAGTGGAGGGATGATAGGGAGACAAGATGCTTATGTTCCCGGGCCATAAAGTAGCTGTCTTTGAGGAGATAGCTGAGAGAGAGAGAGAGAGAGAGAGAGAGAGAGAGAGAGAGAGAGAGAGAG